TAGGTAAGTTATTGTATAACGATGGTTTGTTCTACAGATAGTCAGCAAAAAAATTAGCTTAAAAGGGATAATAATTTTGTCCTTTAAATGTGTTTAAAAAAATAATAACTGATTTTATTCTAGTCGAAATAAAACAAATAAGACTTTCTCCAGAAGAAAAAATATTATCAGACATACTGTGAAAATTTCTTTGCTCTGTTCATCATTTAGGAAATATATAAAATAGAGGAAACAATTCAAAGGGGGGCTAATAATTCTGACTTCAACTGTAGGTAAAATCTGTGAAGTAGTCATCTTAATTTTTTTTTTTAATTATTATAGATGTTCTAAGGCTGTAAAACCCCTCACTTCACGCTTTATACACTCAGACAGACATTAATATTTTCACACTTTTCTTTCTTGTTTAAATACTCTCAAAGTTCAAACTGTAGTAGAAACATAGGTCTTTCAGAATAAACGTTGGACAGTCCAGGATGTACCGCTGGATCGCGTCTCATTATAGTTGTTAAGCGTGATATTTAATTAATCTTGTCTCTATCTAATGATTCTTCAGTCTTTTGTAATCTGTCAGGTAACGTGTCATAGCGTCAGTACACTGCTTCAATCATTTCCTTTCACACTTGTACTTAATCATTTTAGTGAAAACTTCAGATACTGTTGGTTTGTTCCTGTTGGTTGTGCACCTTTTTTCACCAACCAAGTTTGGTGACGCCATTATAACAACACAGATCACTCTGCCTATTCATGTTAGAGTCTTCCGGAAAAAGTGATGACAGGTGGTTATTTGTGTGTAACTTATCTTTAATTATTTATGATTTATTTATGGGCCAAACAAAGACTATACGAGTCAGGTAGTTGAAGTGGTAGGCTACAAATAAATAATTTGTGATGAATTAATTAATTATTCATAATCAATAAATTCATCGCCGCCTATGATGAGGATGCCATCGTCCATCACGATGTTTCCCATAAGACAACGTACAATGCCAAATTGGTCAACATTGTCCTACCCTTGTCTATACTGTATATTTGATTTTAGTACATCGTTGTCATCTAAACTTACCCTAAAGCATTGGCTCTTCATTGCAGGTTTACCCAGTTGTCAATTTTCCCGACCGCTCGGTGAACGCAGTGTCTGAAAGTGCTGTGAGGGAACATCAGGCTCAGTTCTGCACCACTTGTCGTATTCTCCAACAGGTAGAGTATAAACCCTGTACACTAAATATGTGCACTTGTCTCTTTAAGGCCACATCTCAGCCTCCCACTCCCACTTCCAGGAATTAATTAAATAACCTCTTCCTGTTGACTCACATCCAGAAATTCCTTGAAGAAAGCAGATTAGAGCTTGCGTTAACAGCATACTGTAATATGGTCTGGATATTCCAACATATTTAAACAAACGAGACACAACGCTGACTAGGAATACAAATAAAAACAGACCTAGGGTCCGTTCTTCGTACGTGGATTACTCAGTTAGCTGGATTTGGATATTGACGATTTGACACAATCCAGGATCGTTTCGTTCTTCAAAGCTGATCCGAGAGTTGTTGTCATGGCAACAGTTCTGCTAGGTCAAACCTGATCGGGAGCAGGTTCAATTCATATAAACAGGATTAGATCGGCTCAGTTCAAGGAAAGATAATACAGAAAGTATGTTCAGAATTGTGATATTTTCTTACAGTAAAAGTTATATACACTTGGGAAAAGAGTAAATATTTTTAAACTATATATATAAAGTTATTGTTATTAATAAAATAAATAAAGTTATACTTAATAATAAAACGTATGCAATCTGCACCCTCGAAATGAAAGTACAAAGACTGCCACCTGGTGGTGCAAAGAGAAAACTTATTGATATGAACTTTTTAGATCACTTTAGTACAAATTGTGTATAATAGAAATGCACAATATGTGGCTTTTTTTAAAAGCAATAATACATTTATGCAGTCATGAACATGTTTTGACGGTTAATATGACAGTGATTTGATGCTTCACAAAAGTTGCAGACGCCTTTACCAATATCAAAAGGCTTTTGTAAACAACCAGTTATTCTTTACACTGATTAAAAAACAGCTACTATAATAAAGAAAATCTTTTCTAAATGTAGAACTAAATACATTGATATGCATTGAAATACATGATGAATACACTTCACACATGAAAGTGTAAAGCCTGCAGCTCACAACAAATGTGAAAAGTTATTGCGTGTCATATTTAACAAACCGTTTACTGCTAATTTGACGTAATTTTGCTCACATGGATAATTGAATATTAATCAGATGATGTCATTACGCTGCTGTGCCATCAGCCAATCGTTGCATTTCTGATCATGATTTTGAGGATCGATAGATCTGTCCTTCACAACACACGCTGCAATCTCAGATCAGTTTATCCAGACATTCTAATCTGATTCACGAACTTGTTTGAAGAACCAAATTAGCGAGAGATCAGTTATCAAGATTAAAAGATCCAGGATCTGCCAAATCATCTTAGATCATTTAAGCGAGGTACGAAGAACGGACCCCTAGTTACCCTTTGTGAAAAATAAATAATGCTGTTTAATACAATTATTTTAAATACAGTTCATGTATTGTATGATGTGGCTGTTTGTGAATGTGAGCTCTCCCAAAAAACTACTTGAAACACGTTGTCAATATTTTCAGGCTTATTTAACCTACAAAGGGCAAATTTGCATAATCACAAATTAGCATGATGATCTTTAACAACTCCCCAAGAAAAAAAATAGTAAAGCTGTAAGGACAAGACATGCTCTAACCTTGTGAGTTTGTTGTTTTTTTTCATTTTCTAGAGGCAGACCATTGAGCTGATTCCTATCACACGAGTTCATTACATCTGGAAGGAGAAAACCCACATTTATTTTGTTTATGGAACCGAACACAAGGTTTTCACCAAGGATTACCCTGCCAAATGCTGCTGCTGCTCCATCCTTTAAACATGCAGGGAAAGAACCTCGATTGAATGTTTATTATAAAACATGCATGATCATACATGTATGAATTACATGTATGTGTTTGAGCATGTTTTATTCTCTAAACTACTGAAGACATTCCTTCTTCATCTTAAATAAAAGGGATTTTTTGGATGCATGAAAATGAAAGAGCTGCCATGTTTTCAGATATTGTCAGTTTTTATTCAATTTTAGACGGCATGTTTCCAGTGTTTTAACTTCAGAAATTAATATTTGATGGAATAGCCCTGATTTTCAATATTTTTTGTTCTAAAAAACTACTATAAATGACAATATTGTTATTTGATATTTGAAGGAATGTCGTCAGAATCAAACACAACATTTTACTCAAATCTATAAACCCTGTAAATTACAGTTACATTTGATCTAGTTACAGTTAGTTGCAACATAGGCTCATTCTGAAAACGCAGTTCTATATACATTTCTGGAGATCGCATATTATGTAGACAGAGGTATGTATGGCTGCATTTCATATTTAAAATGAACGCTATGGGGCGGTATGATGCAGTTCCTTTTTACGTTTACCAGCTGACCGCTTATCTCCCCATGGACAGCAGTTTTGCTGTTACCAGTTAGTCCTGTGGCTCAACATGTACACCGGTTGACTCGAGACACAAAATGGAGTTGGTCATGTTGACGCGGTTTGAGTCTGGCGAAGAACGGTTCCAGAACGCAGGTGAGACAAAAACAAAAGCCAAAAAATAACAGGGTGAGAATGTGATAAAATCTGAAAACATTGTAAAATTTGGGGGGGTGGGTGGTCAATCTGTGCTTTTGAAAACACTATTGGTTGGGATTAGGGAAAGAGGAGGGAGGGTCGGTCATTTAGTTAGGCCCAATTCCAATTCTACCCCTTAGCACGTGAAGGGGTAAGGGTGTCCCAATTTTCTTAATCTTGAAGGAGAAGGGCTAAGGGGAAGGGGGAGATAGCCCTTCGAATGGAAATTTTTCAGGACCACACTCGAAACCAAGGGGTAAGAAAATTTCCCAGAAAACATCAGCCACAACAGCTGCATAGCTGCACCCGGAAGGAGATCCACAAATTTGTATTTTGTTTGTCATTATTACGAATTTTTACAACAAACAATACTATGTTTTAATGCATTAATTGATGCATAACCGCGTTTGTGTTTTACCGTTGTGCTCTGAAAAAAAAAGCCAAAATAAAAACCACTTTTTCACTATTTATAATTCATAATATTAACTCTTGTATAGCAGTCCCACAACATTCTGACAGTCGGTGACACTCAAATACCCTGCCAGAAAAGTCTAGTGGCTGGGGTCAGTCAGTCGACAGCGGCCTCTGGTGGATTTATGCAAGAACAGAAGGCGCAAATGGCACTCGCGAGAGAAATTTGAGATTTAAAAAGGCATACACAGCGGCCTCTGGTGGATTCACGAAAGCAAAAACTGCAAAAAAGTGTTTGGAGCTCTCCAGAATTGGATATAGGAGTATGTTTTCAGAATGAGCCTGGGTTGGTCAGTTTTCAAAGCACAACACGCACACACACAAACGTTGGTATTGATGCTTTATGTGGATTCCCTTTAGGCATAATGTATTATAAACTGTAAACACCACTCATTACAATTTATGGCTTACCTTACCCCTAAACCCACCAATCACAGGTGAGCTCTGGCCAATTTTCTATGTCAAAAGATCAAACGAAATATGATTTTTAAGCACTTTAAATTACAAGGTCGCAATGTCCTCATAAACAACCTCAACATTATAGTACCTAGGTCATACCCATTTCATTATACACATTTTTGTCCTTGTAAACCACCCAAACCATCACACACTGACACAAACATTTATTTGTATCATAACCAGACACCATATTAATGGACCACAATAAACTTTATTTTATTCATTTATTTTATTTGTTTAGTGAACAGGGATAGTGTACGTTAATATAACATTCCTGTAGATGTACCAGAATTATCCAGACCTTATATATATATATATATATATATATATATATATATATATATATATATATATATATATATATATATTCATTATTAATCATATTACAACTATTTTGAATATAGGCCTATATAAAGTTCATTTGCAAAAAGCATAAATGATTGTTTTTTTTTTTGTTTGTTTGTTTATTTGTTGTTGTTTTTGTTTAGTTTTTTTTGCAATTGTAGGCCTACTCTTCAATACGTAAAATGTTTTAGATGTAAAACCCTTATTTTTGCAACTTAAGAGACTTTAAAGTAGAAATTCTATTAGTCTACACTAGGCTTACATGAGTTACCTTATTATACATTAGTTAGCCTACTTTACATTTTATAATTTCATTATTAATCATATTACAACTATTTTGAATATAGGCCTATATAAAGAGTTCATTTGCAAAAAGCATAAATGATTGTTTTTTTGTTTGTTTGTTTATTTGTTGTTGTTGTTGTTGTTGTTGTTTTTTTGCAATTGTTGGCCTACTCTTCAATACACAAAATGTATTAGATGTAAAACCCTTATTATTGCAACTTAAGAGACTTTAAAGTAGAAATTCTATTAGTCTACACTAGGCTTACATGAGTTACCTTATTATACATTAGTTAGCCTACTTTACATTTTATAATTTCATTATTAATCATATTACAACTATTTTGAATATAGGCCTATATAAAGAGTTCATTTGCAAAAAGCATAAATGATTGTTTTTTTTGTTTGTTTGTTTATTTGTTGTTGTTGTTGTTGTTGTTGTTTTTTTGCAATTGTTGGCCTACTCTTCAATACACAAAATGTATTAGATGTAAAACCCTTATTATTGCAACTTAAGAGACTTTAAAGTAGAAATTCTATTAGTCTACACTAGGCTTACATGAGTTACCTTATTATACATTAGTTAGCCTACTTTACATTTTATAATTTCATTATTAATCATATTACAGCTATTTTGAATATAGGCCTATATAAAGAGTTCATTTGCAAAAAGTATAAATGATTGTTTTTTTTTTGTTTGTTTGTTTATTTGTTGTTGTTGTTTTTTTTTTTTTTTTTTTTTTGCAATTGTTGGCCTACTCTTTAATACACAAAATGTATTAGATGTAAAACCCTTATTATTGCAACTTAAGAGACTTTAAAGTAAAAATTCTATTAGGCTTCACTAGGCTTACATGAGTTACCTTATACATTAGTTAGCCTAATTTACATTTCTTTTATAATTTCATTATTATGCGCATCCTTACACTTTCATTTTTGTTCATATAGTTTCCTATATTATGTCTGTGCAAGCAAATTTTGTGTCATACAGTACGTAAAGTTATTTGTTTTTAACGAGATAAATGTAAGTTTCTCCTTTTAAGTGAACTGTGTCTTTAAGAATTCTGTATTGTAAGTATCAGGCGCGCTTCAATAAACCAGAGTTGCGGAACAAATTTGTGGGCGTGTCTTGTATTATTATTGCCGTCCAGTTGAGAGTAACTGAGGTAAAACTCTGTAGTGTGGAGCAGCTGAACTCACAAACACTGTCAAACAGACCCGCGGTTTTCTGCGTTATGGACGAAAAAGACGAAGATATAGGTGGGTACTATATTTCACATTACAGCTAACTTGTCTTTTGCTACAAGGTTAACTGGCGTGTATGCTACTTTGTTATTACTCCCAATTATGACAAGGAATGGTCGAGCTATATACGTCTAACTTGTTTACAAAAATGTCATTGAAAGTTTACTGCAATTTATAGGCTGTGGTGAATACTGTCATGTTTTGAACCACACCACAGTGTCTATGTATTAACGTTAACTGTATTCATTATAATATTCACAACTTTTTGTTAATAAATTCTCCAGCATATTTATATTATAACTATTGTAAACTGATTAACGGTAATAATTACTGTGTATTACTACAGTAAACTGGGGTGCATAATATACAGTTGTAGAGAACTACTCTTATATTACAATTGTTCTATTATCATAGCAACTCTAAAGTTTCCACATCAAATAAATTTAGGTGTTTTACTGTAGTTTGGTTGAACTATATATACTATAGTACATTTATGTGGGTTACTTTGTGCAAGAATTTAAAGAAATAGTTTTTTGCCACAAATGTTGATTCTTCTTCTTACTAAGTTTTTATCTTATTCTAAAGATTTTAAAGTATTCTGTGAAAACATTTCTATCAATATTAAGCCAGTTTGAGGTTTCTGTTTTTCTTTATTTGTGCAAAACCTGATTATCTATTAGCTTTGAGATTAATCCAAGAAAGCATTTGATGCACTTAAAGAGTAGGAAGGAAATCTGTCTTTTTTGCATAAAAGCATCAACATGTATGTGATTATTTTGCTTATTTTACTAGAGACCAAATCTAAATCTGGTTGGCATATTGATGGTCCATTGGAGTATTAGTAGACTGTCTGCTGAGTATCTGTTGATACTGACATTTAACAGTCCTTTAACAGACATTTAACTGACTATAAGAAGCTTTGCAAGTACATGTCAAATTACTCTAACCCCAACCTTAACCCCAACCTAACAGTCTACTTATAATATAATGAGAATTAGTTGGCATGTAGATGCAATCTAACTTAAATTCAACAAACGGACAATCAAAATAAAGTGTGACCCATAGTCCTAAATAAATAAATTTATATAAATAAATATATATACATACAAATATATATATATATATATATATATATATATATATATATACACACACACACATATATATATATATATATATATGTGTGTGTGTGTGTGTGTGTGTATGTATATATATATGTATATATATGTATATATATGTATATATATTTATTAACTTACTATATATATATATATATATATATATATATATATATATATATATATATATATATATATATATATATATATATATATATATATATATAATTTTTAGAAACTAGATTTTTAATCACAGCTAATGAAACTCCAACAAAAAACTCTAGAAACAGTGAAAAATTGTTACCAAATGTTTATGGAATAAATTAATATTAACATTTTACTATAATCCAGAGTAAACACACACATTTGGTATATGTAGTGCAAAATCACTTGTTTTTTTATTTTTCTGTTAAATAAAAACAAAAGGCTACAGTTCAAATATAAAAGTGCATTTCTTTCAATAATAAATTGTTCAATTATTTAAAGAAATAAAAAGCTATGTTTCATTTAAAATTTTTGTAAAGTCACTATTATACTAACTATTAGTAAACAATTACATTTAAGTGGTCTTTAACAGCAAGTAGAGTTTTTATTATTTTGCTTCTCACTTTATTCTAATTATAAATGGTATTTTTCAGTAATTCCATTAAAACACTGAGGCCAGGACTTGTTTTCTGATAACTGCTGTATAATACTGCCTTTGTTATCTAGACGTTAACTTCATTCTGAACTTCACTTATAACACCAAAGTACTTTCATGTAGCAAGAGCAAAAAAATGCAGCCTGCGGACAAATTAACAGCCTGGAACTTAAATGTTATCTTAAAAGCGAGTGTATCCTGTTTACTAAATAGAGCGCATGTCTGTCAGTTTAAGCACAATTAATCACACTGCAGATTCTTAAAGGCACCGCGACCAATTCAATTCATTTAGACCAAAGCGATTGTTTACGTGTTTTACTCTTGTTATCAGTGTAATTTATTTCTGTGCTGCTATTATTAGGCACCAGACTGTGTTATAAAGACGTGTTCTCAGGGGTCTGAGGGTGTTTTCCTGTTCGCAAGTCTGCAAATTCTACGTTTGGCATTTGGGGAAAGAGATATTGTGATGTACTGTGCTTCGTTTCTTAGCACATTTAATTTGCATCAACCCACTGGCTAATGCATTATTTCTATAACACAGAAGTTTATTTTATGCTTGTCTTGTTCATCATTGTAATTTTCAATAGGCATACTGAATGAGTTTGGAGTCCTAAAATAAAATCACCTTAAGTAAAAAGTGAATTATTTGGTATCAGAAGTGGCTTATATGAAAGGCAAAGGCCTCTAGATTATGGTTATTTCACCAAAATAAAATATGATCATGATTTTTAATTATTTATTTAGTACAGCAAGGTCTGACTTTGCTTAGACAAAAGTCTTGTCAGTTAACAGAAATAATGTACATTATAGAATGTTAAGTAATGGTGCAGTGGATGTAATATTGTGTATGACTCCTATGAGCTTAGGGGACTGCATCCATACATCTCTGCTATGACTTTAATAAGTTTATCAAGGATTCATCTTCAATGCCTCCTCCTTCATCTTACCCCAAACATGCTCAATAATGTTCATATCTGGTGACTGGGCTGGCCAATTCTGGAGCATTTTGACCTTCTTTGCTTTCAGGAACTTTAATGTGGAGGCTAAAGTATAAGAAGGAGCGCTATCCTGCTGAAAATTTCCCCTCTCCTGTGGTTTGTAATGTAATGGGCAGCGCAAATGTCTTGATACCTCAGGCTGTAACTTTGCAGATCTCTCGCACACCCCCATACTGAATGGAACCCCAAATCATGTTTTTTCCTTCACCGAACTTGAATGATTTCAGTAAAAATCTTGGGTCCTTGTGGGTTCCAATAGCTCTTCTGCAGTATTTGTGATGATTGGGATGAAGTCCAACAGATGATTCAGCCGAAAAAATGTACTTTCTGGTACATTTCCGAATGATCAACTGGAAGTCAAGTTATTATTTGTTGCTCTTACGACTATGATCGATGATTGAAGACTTTTGTCATGTAGTGTATATATTTTTTTTTTGAATAAACCTGTAAATCAAACATGATCTTGATCAAAACTACAAAATTTACATCTTTCCAACAGGAAAAACCACCAACAACTAATGCATGATAATATGGTGGCATTGCTTTGCAATCAAAAAATGTCATTATAATGGAAGTGGGCCAAAAATGGCCCCTTACATAACAAAAGTGCAGTACATTTGCCCACAATGTATTGTTTGAGCTTTTTTTTTTTTTTTTTTATTTCAAAGCATTTACCCAAAATAAGATTTGTCACCAAAATCATTCCCTTCACTGAAACAGAAAGTTGTGGCCAAATTAAGCCTCAGTAGTACCCCATAGTGGATCAAATCAGTAAATTAAGGTTTTGGGTTCAAAATGACCACTTCAAAACTGGGTGTTTTACAGAAAAGCTAATGTTAAGTTACAACATCAGCCGACAACCCAGGCTCATTCTGAAAACGTACCCCTATATACATTTCTGGAGAGCGGCAAATACGTCCCAGGAGGTATGTTTTTTTTTAGCTAATCTATCAGAGGCCGCCTTGTGTGCTTTTTTAAATCTTAAATTTCTTTTGCGAGTGCCATTCGTGCCTGCTCTTCACGTGTAAATCCACCAGAGACTGCTGTCAACCGACTGACTGATCCACTGACCAGCCCTACTCCGTTCCTAAACCCAACCGATAGTGTTTTCAAAAGCAATCCATAAAGAAAAAAGCTCTCGTGGCAGCCTGATTTTTACCACGTTTTCAGATTTGATTACATTCTCACCCTGTTATTTCTTCAATTAACTTCAATTCATCTTTATTTCTATAGCGCTTTTACAATGTAGACTGTGTCGAAGCAACTTCACATAGAAGATTATAGTAAATTGAAACATTTCAGCTTAAATCAGTTCTGTGTAGTTTAATATTCACTGCTGAGAGTCCAAACATTGAAGAGCAAATCCATTGATGCGCAACTCTACAAGTCCCGAACTATTCAAGCCAGTGGCGACAGCGGTGAGGAAAAAAATTCACCAATTGAAAGTGAAGGATAAAAAACGCTGAACATCAGCGAGGACTCGTCTGTTCCTGGAGTCTCACAGGTCTCAGACGCATGATCTCTACTCCTCCATAACCACCACAGCAGCTGCTCATGATACAGCTTGGTCCGGGATTGTAGAAACCTTGGGATCATCTCTTCACAGGTCTTAAACCGCATCAGTGTCACTGCATAATCTCTGGGGGCCTCGGGATGAGTATCCCCAGGTGGAAAAACCAGGTATCCACTTGTTTATTTTATTTTTTTGACTTTTGTTTTTGTCTTACTCGCTTTCTGGAACCGTTTTTCACCGAACCCCATCATCGCTGTCAACTCCGAACCATGTCACAAGTTTGCAATGTATGCGGCGAGCCACTTGACAAACTGGTAAACAGTGAAAAAGCCGCTCACAGCGAGGGAAGCGCGAAAAGGCACAACGAAATGCAGCCATACATACATGGCTACTTAATTCACAATCTCCAGAAATGTATATAGAGCTACGTTTTACAGAATAAGCTTACGTTGGCTATTGAGTTATCAAATATAAGAGAGTGAGCTCTTCACAGCTACGCAGACACCAAATACTTTGTGTTTTTATTTAAAATCTAAGGTAAATTATCCATTGTAGCACTCATAGCACTCCTAAAAGTCATGCAAAATGGTTTCAAGCTAAAAACATTGTTTTAACATTTTTTTTAGGTTATATTATTAATATATAAGCACATATAAGCATGGAAATAAAAAAAAAGTACAAATCTCTGTATTTGGACTAAGAGGGGCACCCTGTATGTCCTCCTTAAAATATGCTGCATTGCTAGGCAACAGAATATAAACACATTTTTTAGCAATCAGTATTTGGCAGTTGTTCATTTAATTAGTAGGGTGCTTTCCCTCGGTGCTTTGAGTTAAATTTACTACACACAAACAGCTTGTTACGTACATGAACAATGCCGCTAACAAGTGGTTATAAATATCAGCTGGAGCGAGTTTCCTTCAGCAGAGATCATACTTCAGATTTAGCATGAAGAATGGGCAAAATGAGGCCTGTGTGCCAGACAAACAATGCCCTCAAAATATAGCAGTGAATGATGGGAGGAGCAGCTTGTCTGTGATAAAATTCAAGTGCAATTTATTTAACGCACATTTATCAAAATGGATAACCTCCCAAAACCAAGACCCACCTCTCCTTTCCTCCCCACCACACCACATGAAAACCTCTAAACATTATGCAATGCCTCACACAGGTGAGTGGGCTTGACAAGCCACCTGTAGAAAACACACTCTTTAATCTCTCACAATTTGACCAACAGTTGTCTTACAATCAATCTAAATTTCTTCAAAAACCTCCCCCCTCTTTACTCTAGCACTTAAAGGTCCCATGAAGTACTTCACAATGTGCCTTTTTTATTTGATATTTGACGTAGTGGCAATCAGAACATAATAAGAGGGTGGGACATAGTGTAGCTCCTCCCCTTCTTAAAAAACAGCCAGTGAGAGTGGTTGAGGATAAGTACATCAAGTGTCTTGAAGGGGGTGGGACATGTCAGATACTAGAGAGCATTTAATGTCTCTATTTGATGAGAAAGTATGAAGTAGTATGGGGTGACGTGAATAAAACCGTTGATCCATTTTGGTGGAAGTGACAAACTAAAGCTTTAAATGTTTATATCGGTTTTATATCTTGTAAACGAGTATTTTTTTGCTGTTTTGGTGCACACAAGCTTATAGATTTCCTAAACACTAACAGTACTGGTACTAACAACTGATAAAACTTTATTTTAATTTCACGGGACCTTTAACAATTCTCTGAGCACTAACAGTTGCATTTTATAATAAGGATTTCTTGTGTGTATTGACTCTTCTTGTTGAATCACTAATGCCTCCTTAATTGTTATTTGTCAATTTGGACAAAAGATCTGCTAAATGATTAAATCTAATAGCACTATGATAAAAATGTAAGACATGCTGTTGCATTATAGGGATTTACAATGCAAATTCAAAAAGTGTTTAATTTTAGGTTCTAATTTTTATACAGGGAACTGGTCTAAAAAGATCATCAGTCATCTATTAACAATTACAAGCCTTTGTGAGTAACAAGTAGGGCTGCACGATACTGGAAAAATATGCGATATTGTCATTTGAATATTGCCATAACGATATTTCTTACAATATGCCATTTCCCTAGAATTATGTTATGCTTTTTTTTAGCTATGTTAAGTCATTTATTTATTCAATGATATCAAAGATAACAGGTCTAATTAAATAATTAACTCAATTTAAATCTAATTAATTCTAATTCAGACTCAAAACGGTATCAATGTGCAAACATTTAGTCTTTAAAACACTGTGTGAGTGATAACCTCTGCGGATATTCTGACTCTGATTGGCTCTGATTAGCTTCCGGGTCCAATCGCTCTATCACACTGTATGGGTAGACTCAACAAATGGTAATAATAAACGTTTACAAAGCGATTGTAATATTTTCGAAAATGATGATTGATATATATATATAAATATATATATATATATATATATATATATATATATATATATATATATATATATATATATATATATATATATCCATGCCTGATATCCGATGTCCAGAAAGTGATTCATTTTTTTTAAAAATGTTAAAATGTTGGTGACTATTGTGTACACCATCATTTCATATGAAATTAACTTTTGAATAAAAAGTGGCCATAGGCGCCATCTGAATAGTCAAATTTAGATAAACAACCAATGCATAAAATGCATATCTGTGATGTGTATATTGTATGTACTATTATCACAATAACAATAGTTTAGTGATATACAGTAGAAGTTACAATTATAAGTCCTCCTGTGATTTAATTTTTTAATTTTTATGTTTTCAAATATATCCCAAACATTGATTAACCAGGCAGAGATTTTTCACAGCATTTTTTCTTCTGGAGAAAGTTTTATTTTGGCTAGAATAAAATTTAAAATATATTTTAAAAACATTTTAAGGTCAATATTATAGGTCATCCTTAAGCATGTTTTTTTTCCCGATTGTCCACAGAACAAAGCATTTTTATACAATGACTTTCCTAATTAACTTAGTTAAGCCTTTAAATGTCACTTTAAGCTGATTACTAGTATCTTGATACATTTCTAGTAAAATATTATGTACTGTCATCATGGCAAAGACAAAATAAATCAGTTATTAGAAATAAGTTATTAAAACTATTATCTTTAGAAATGTGTTGAAAATCCGTTAAAAAAAATATACAGGGGGTCTTATAATTACGACTTGTACTGAATATTTTGTAGCACCAATAACAAGTATTTTCTGTTTACTTACTCATTTTACATTTTTGGAAGATCTATTCTTAACAGTATTTTGAATGTGTTCCTGGATTACTGATAATGTTCTAGGATCAACATGGATAAACTATTTGAAAAAATGTGGATGCCCATTTTAAGGCGGTGGCTTTAGGATAGTATTTTTGTTCCTAGGATCAACAGAGGATGTTGATAGAGGAAGATGCTGGTCTTTGATATAGGTCATAAATGTCATGATGTGTTTCTGCAGACACTCTTGACCCCAGTCTTCCCGAGGAGGGTCCGACTGCTCCACCTCCTGGATGGCTAGACACGGTTTCAGGCTATGAGGAAAACACAGGCGGAGGTGAAAGATCAAATACACTCAAAACTCAAAACAAAGATGAAAATGATACCAATCAACATGATGCCGTTAATAGTAATAATTTATGGTGCTATTATTAGAATACACATATAATTGTATATTTGACCATTTATAATTTAATAATGCATTATATTTTTATTAAGAAACTAATTATGTTGTATTATTGAAAATGCTTTAATGCAATATTATACCTTAAATAAGTTTAATATTGCTATTTTTATTACAAGTTATAATGTACTGTAATAAACACAAAGGGATTATTACTAAGATACTGTTATATATTCTTTTACAGTATAAAAATAATATATATAACATCACACAAGTAGCGATATGGCTGTATATCATCACTGGCGTGCATTGGCCTCAAAAGTACATTTTTTTGTATGACAACAGTAATATTTGTCAAACTGTAGAGTCTCTCTGCTTGTTGCTGGCTGTATGTGGGCGGAGTAATACACAGAGGTGAAGGGTGAAGAGGCCTTTGTGTGATGTTACTGGCCAAAAATGTCACGGCTGTCAGCCAATCAGATTCAAGAACCAAACAGAACTGTTGTATAAATATATATATAATATACATATATACTTCAAGGCACTATTGCAACAATATTTTATTTCTATTAATAGTATTATGCTGCTTTACATAATAAGGATTGTTATGTTTGTGGGCTTGTTTGTAGACTGTCCTCCTCCACCAGACTTTGTACCTAAACCCGAAAATGACAAGAATGCCTCAGTTCCAAATGTCATGTAAGTACATTATATCTTTTTTTTTTTTTTTAAATAAACAAAAATCTATTTATACACAATTTTATTCATGTAGACAGAAAGTTACACTGTAAAAAGTGATAATTTGAAACTGTTACTTCCTGGTTTAACTGATATAACATGTTGAACATGCATGATTGTCTTTTGTGATATTAAACACTATTTTTCACTTGAATACCATTTCATTTAGTGTACAAATACAATATATTCAACATTGGCTTAGGAACAAATGTTATTATTTGCATACTGAACAGGGAATTTGAGTATTTGTTTGAGTATAGATTAATTTATTTTTTCCATCAGGGTGCCCAGTGTCTCAGAGGATACTGCGAGAGATGCTCTTCTCCAGTTCGTTGGTAAAAAATGGACGTACAGCAGCAAGCCTGCCAAAAATCTGATCTTCAAAGAGCTGAAGCCTTTTACTGTTTACCGTGTAAATCTCTCCACAGTATCATCCAACTTTAACCTGGGCAGATTTATAAATAACATATTAAAGCACTTATACTGAGAACAATCTAAGCAATTTCTCCTCTAACTTTTTTCAGTACCGATTGGAAACATTTACCGAGTCCAGATCGAGTGCGTGGGAATCAGAGCCACACACAGGTATCAGAAGACACCAGTATACATTTATATTTTGACAGAAATGTTCAACCCAGGCTCACTTTGAAAATGTATCACTATCTGGAGAGCGCCAAATAAGTCCCTGGTGGTATGTTTTTTTGCAGTTTTTGTTTTTTACAAATCTGCCAGGGGCCGCTGTGTACACGTTCTCAGATCTCAAATTTCTCCCACGAGTACTATTTGTGGCATTCTCCTGTAAATCCACCAGAGGCCGGTGTTGACTGACCGAGTGATCGACTGACCTAGCTAAAACCCAACCGATAGTGTTTTACGTGTTACGCGCCATGGTGCTTTTGCTTATTACATGGCGACTTTGTAAGTGGAAAAACTGAACGATTCAATAGAGGGACAACAGTTACAGAGCATCTGCAGCGCGAGAATGAGAGATAAAGCCTTCTCATTGTCTACTTTCACTTTCGCTCTCATGGATAGGGAAACCTTGTACGCACAGACATCAGTTAGCCTATAAAAAATTAATTTAGTTTGTTAAGCTCAAAGATTTGATTCAAAACTGTTTCTAAATTGAGTTCTAATTTCCAGCAAACGAATAAATGAACAACAATAACGAAGTGTGGTCAAAACACTGAGTTACATCCTAATACACATGCTGTGCCCCATATGGAGGTGAGCAAATCTAAGCTTGTTATATAATATATCATATATATATGCATATAATAAATAATACTGCTAATAATAATAACATTATACAAAAGCAAATTGTCACGAATAAACTGAAAAAGCCTCCGAGATGAAGAAGGCATGAAAGTATGGTTTTTAAGTTTATGTAGGCTAGAAAATAATGTTTTGTAATATTTTAATCCTTTGTATTTTTATCCTATATATATATATATATATATATATATATATATATATATATATATATATATATATATATATATATATATATATATATATTTCTATCCTTATTTTATCCTATATATGTCAAGGTATGGGGGTGGTGAAGAGGAGGCGAGGACCCAAATGCAGGGAATGAAGAATTTAATGAAAAAATAAAACAAAAACAAAACTCAAATCTCCCCATGTGGGGAAAAACACAACATTATATTACACACTCAACAAGACAAGATCTGGAACTTTTCAAGACAATACTTTAAACCGCTGTTGTAGAATGGAAATCAGCAACAGGGAAGGGAACAATCAATAACGGACCAGCACAGAACAGAGCACACTAGGAGAATAAATAGGAAAGACAATCCAATAAACAGACAGGCGGACAGGTGAAAATAATAATTACAAACAAGGTAACAAGGTGGGTGGGACTAGACAATAGACGGGAGAGCGCATGACACAGAGAGACAATACAAGCCATGCGCTCACATAACACAACACTGAAGCACACGACAAAAGCACGTGACCACAATGTAAACACAGAGCCACGTGCTTTGACAAAAGACGCAAGACACGAGCGCACGATGAATGAAAACACTCACCGTGCGGTCACACATGCAGCATGCATGCTTCATCCCAGCGCCGACCAAAACCGAAACCAACAAGACTGAGACGCTGGGAATGAAACACCACGCTGCTGACAGACGAAAACACAAACACGAGTACAAGAGCGCACGCGTCTGAGGGACGCAGAGCGCGCGCGCGGCCGCGTCAAGCAGGAGCGCGCACACTCTGCGTACACCCACGACGGCGCGCGCGCACACAGAGACAGAAACAGGACCAGACACGAGTAGTGTCAGAGATCTGCCACCAAAACAAGAATTTACAAGACCAGAGTGGCAGAACCCTGACAATATACAGGGCTTAACATTAACACCTGCCAACCCGCCAAATGCGGGTAGATTTCAGCTTTGGCAGGTTAGACTGTCACTCCACTAGCCACTTTGGCTGGTTGAAAATATTTTATAAATTGTAGTTTTCTTAAAAGCAGGGTTCGACAATATAAGGATGGCCCAATATGCGTGCAAATATGATCTTAGACTTGAGAAGTAGAATAATTGTGATCACGCGAGCAGAAGAAAGCAAGTGAATACCGAATGAGAGGATGCGCTAACAGCTGATGTGATGTGTGTCTTCCTAAAACACGTGCGCACTCTCGTTTTCTTTTCGTGAGGCAACCGTGTCTCGAACAGGGTCTGGAAACGCAACTATGATCGGTTCTCTTTCAAATAGACTAGACAAAAAGTGATGAACATGCACTCACGGTCCTGCTGCTTTCAAGCGCTTAAAATGTGTCTTTTTGTAAGCAGCACTGGTTGCTTTCACTTTAAACAGATTATTAATTGGCCTAAAATTAACCGTGTGCATGTGATCATCCTTTCATTATCAAACACGGTATGTTTTTTCACCTTTTTTCATTTGCTTAAGGTTTTATTTTCTTTTATTGTTGTTAAAATGGTTTAATGATCTTTTTTTAAGACATTACTTTAATGGGAGATTAACTCTCCATTTATATGCTGTTGACTGGAGATCCGAGAGATCTTTAGCCACGACAGATTACTGTGCATATTTTTGATACGTGACAACTACTATTTTTAAATAGTCAATTGCTTTTTTTTCTTTTATAAGAAATGTTTCGTTAAATAAAAAGTATAGTATACAGCTATATTTTGATTGTTTTGACATTTAAAATTTGTGGCTAAGAAATTATTATTGTTTCATGTGGTTATAGAGATAAATTTGGTAAATCCTTATCTTTGAGCTCTGAAAAGTCATGTAAAATAAAAACTAATTGCAATATAACACTATGAAACCACAACCCATTTGCTCATGCTCATTAAACAAGCTCATACTCAACAAACAAAAAAGTGAAATGAATGAGGAGGCATGGAGACAATGTAATTTTGACATGCAAGTAATTTTAGCATGTCAAAGTCAAATTTATGCATATAAAATATATTTTCCCAACAACAAAATTATGGCTAGTGAAAATGCAGAGTGGCTAGTAACATTGGAAAACTACTAGCCACAGTGGCCGGTGATTATAAAGGTTAATGTCAAGCCCTGCCTATACATATCCTCAATTTTTTTAATTATTTTTCATATGTAAAAATATTTGTGTATTGCTCTACATCTTGTGTGTATTAAGCAATGTGTAAGCGAGGCGCACAACTAACGCGCTCTGCGCTGGACTTTAGACAGGCTTTGTTCTGGTCTATAGAACAGACTATTATAGTTTCTCAAAATAGCAACGCACCAGCAATGCGCCTCAAAACGCCTCCTTTTTTAGACTAGAACGCATATGGGCACACATGAGCGCAAATGCATTTGTTATTTAAAAGTGTGGCGCAAAACTTCAAAACAACTTTTGCGCCAAGTTGAAACTAGCAAACAACAATTGCGTCGCGTCTTGCGCTACATTGTGCCGGGTGTATGATAGGGCCCTTTGTGTCACAATTTGCAGGGGTATAAAAAATTTCAGCCTTGACTGTTGATGTTTGCTAAAGTAACACCTGGATATATGGTTTGTGAGCCTAATCCGATTTGTACAAACAGATACATAACTTTAAAACATTCCAAAGCTTAATTAATAAAACAAAACCTCTTCATCCGTCTCAGGTCAGTATGTGGACGGGCCTCAGAATGGAGTGAGTCCATTACCATGGCACATCCAGGTCTCTTACCCACCCAAATTCACTGACTCCATTCAGAAAGTCAGAGTCCCACACTCTTCATTCATAAAGGTATCTAAATTTACATACATTACTTACTAATTAAAACCAGCTCAAAATTAAGCATATCAGACCTAGTGCTCTTAAAGTTGCACAAAGCCAATTTTGCCAAACAATGTTGAATTTTGACTAGTGTTATCACGATACTAAAATTCAGTACCAATCTATACTGGAATTTTTAAAAAGTCCATTTTAAGCGGTGTTGAGCACATTCTAAAACACCTCTGATTTGCTATTGTGTTCACATGCTCAAAAGAAATGACTGTGATTGGCCATGAAGGTCTTTAACTCACCACTGTTGAGTGTAACCACAGATGGACTGTTGAGTGTAACCACAGATGGACACTGAAGGATTTTAAAGCCGCGATTCATCAGTGGATCACTCGTATATCTGCTTATAAACATACCAGTTGATCGACGTGACTTTAAAATGCTCCAGTGTCCCTGTATCAGTAGTTACACTCAGTAAACAGTGGTAAGTTCTGTGAACTGATGACCTTCACAGCCAATCACAGTCATTGTGAACACAATGTCAAATCAGCGCTGTTTAAGAATGTGCTCAACAGTGCTCAAATGTTAGTGGGAAATTGACCTTTGTAAAACTTCAGTATCGATTGGTATCGAATTCCAGTATCGTGACAACCCTAATTTTAAAAGCATAGGAAAACAGGACTCTGTTTTCTATCTATTTACTATCAATTTACTGTCATGCCTCTTGATGCTGATTGGTTGCTTGTGTTTTTAAGATTTTATCTAAAAATCGTTTTAAAAATATTCCTTAGTGCACCAAACACCATTAGTCAGACTTTTATTTAACCCAGGCTCATTGTGGAAACGTAGTCCCGCGGACGTTTCTGGAGACCGCGGAATACGTCCCGTCGGGTACGTACGGCTGCAGTTTTTGTTTTTGCAAATCCGCGAGAGGCCACTGTTGTGCGCTTTTTCGCACCTCAGATGCCTCTCGCGAGTGCGGTTCGCGCCCACGCTGTTCTCGCGTGAACCCACCGGAGGCCGCTGTCCAACTGACCAGATGATTGACTGCGCGACCGGCCAATCGGCCGACCCGCCCTCCTCCTTCCCTGAACCCAACCAATTGTACCAATCGACCCGCCCGCCCGCTCGCTTCCCTAAACCCGAGCAACAGTTTACAAAAGCCATCCAAAAAAATAAAAGCCCCGATATTTTTTTTCTACCGCGTTTTCGGATTTCACAGCGTTCTCACCCTGTCACGAAACTCGTTCACTTAATTTTTGGGATTTTGTTTTTGTCTTACCTGATTGCTGGAACCGCTCTTCCCCGGACTCAAAATCGGTCGCCGTGGTCGACTCCTCTCTGCATCTCGAGCCTGCCGACATACATGGTGAGCTGAGTGGACAAACGGGTTGCAGCGGGGAAGCCCTCCACAAGGAGGTAAGGTAAGGCAAGCGCGAAAGGGAACAGCTTCACACCGCCCCGCAGCATAAAATAAACACAGCCGTACGTACCCCCCCGGGACGTATTCCGCTGTCTTCAGAAACAGCCGCGTGACTACGTTTTCAGAATGAGCTTGGGTTGCTTTTATTTTCATTTTTCGATGCCTGTCACAAAATTGCATTATTGCATTGTCATTGCAGCCCTGCTACTGTTGTCATGGTAATGGCAAAGTGAGATGTACACACTGCCGCGGACGAGGAATGGTAAGCAAGTTTATTTATCAAATTATTTCTGACAGCATTTCATTCTACTGACTGAGAAAAATCTCCAAAACCAATTCAGACCCGCTGTATGTTTTGTCACGGATCTGGTCACGGTCGCAACCGAAGGTGCACAAACTGCCACGGGCGGGGTAGAAAAAGGTGATTTGAAGGATTAATTCAATCTCGAATGTGTTTTACGTCTTTGTGTAACATAATAAAAAATAAGAAAAAACATTTGATTTTTCAGGTGTTTGTCTTGTCATGGAAAGGGTTGCAAAGACTGCCTCACGTGTAATGGACAAAGAAAGCTTATGCATTTCATACAGCTCACTGTTACCTGGTAAATGTGCAAATAAAATGTCTTTTCTTGTCTGTGGTAGACACGATAGTTTCAGTTCTTGTTTTGGTTTTTGCCTGTTAATTAAGTTTTTCTGGTGGTTATCTTTGAGTAACATTACAATGTTTCACAGGAAGAATCAGGTGTTTGAGTTTATACCTGACCGAGTGCCTGAATTTCCACTGAAGAAGTTTGAGAAGGTTTCTGGAGAAGCTTTCTTTGTTGACGAAAACCTCCTGGTATAAAATGATTCAGTCATTCTTTTATATTTCAGAGTCAGATATTTTATTAACCCTCATGTTCGCAGTTCTCCAAAGCCTCAAATACTACTCTGTGATAATTAGCCATGCTTTAACTACAAGTTCTACTAATAAAAACTTTTATTAAACAAAATCTTTGTAGTAGTGGAACAATAACCCCAAATAATGGTTTTGCTGCATTACTTGTCGTTTGAATGGTATTTGTTGTAAAAGTGGGTTTATACAAATGGTAAGCTAATTAATGCGCAAAAAAAAAGATTACACTCTTATTGTAATAAATATTTTATAACTTAGCATATAGACGATCTTCATCATCCTTATCGGCAATTTTCAATGTATATTTTTTGATTTTCTAAGGTGAAACTGTCTTACTTCATGTCACTGTGACAGTAAAAAAACAAAAACAATGTCTCTGTTAATGTTGTAATGCTAATATCTATGGCCAGTGCCGGAATTGCAACACAAATACTCATAATAGTGATCTCCTGTTTCCATTAATTCATTGAATATGTCAAAAGTATGTAATGAATAGATTTTTAGATTAAATAAATGTAAATTCAGAAATTACGGTTATTTTGGGCAGGGGAACCTTCAGGATTATATTCCATACGCAAATTTCCAGCATTGCCCTGCCCTATCATCCCTTATTCTTATCTCAAGAAACACTGATGCTTGCTGTAAAAGGCTACATTATTCAAAGGCATTTGTTATGACATTGATAGGATGAAACTAATGTCTCCTTTTTAAATATTAAGAAATGTTCTTTTTCCTGGCATTTTCTGCCAGGGTTGCTTAAACACCTGAACTTGCCGTAAATGAGATAGACAAAATAAAAGCACATCAGCACCAAGGAAAAATCAGATGTTTAAGATGTAATCTTTAAGATAAAAAATATGCAAATATATGACAGAGGTTTGGGATACAACAACTACAGTCAACCATTACTTAAATCCGTACTTTCCGCTTAACCCAACAAATCATCCACTCGCACAGCTGAGTAGTGGACTGGTTTAAACTAAAATATAATTTGTATATATTCCTGTAAAAAAACATCTTTTTGAAACCAATTTTGTTTTTGTATAATTTGTATATTAGTTTTAATATATATATATATTTTTTTAATCAAGTTATTTGAATAAGAAGGACAGGCTTTTAAAAAAATTTCCCAGCAGCACTGAACTTGTTCCAAGATTACCTCAAACAAAAAAAACTTGGTTGGAAGGGTGAGAAAACTCAGAAATTCATGAGATCGGAGAAGTCTGCATATTTGTGTCAGTCTGTCAGGTAAAATTTTTAAAACACATTGAATGTTAGCAGTTCCATGCGAGGAGACTGCGCAGATGGATCTAAATTGTCCGATGAAAGAGACATGGGCTGGGGATGGAGTTCCCCCGGCTCAGGTGTTAAATGCCTTTTGGCAAATGTCTCAATTAAGTTTAGGTGTTTTAGAAAGCGTTTACTCATTTTGAACCTGGTTTTAAACAACAGCCATCATAATTTTAATTTTCAGTGTGCAGAAAAAATGCCAACAAAATTAAAGCCAATAGATTTATTTACCCATCTCCCACCATCCAAGTACATGCACACTTTAAAACACACATACGCACACCTTTATTTATTCATTCTTTCTTGCTTTGTCAATATATCGTAGTGTATGATGTTTAATAGTCAATTTAAATTATGTCAAAATAAAAAAATCAATAGAAAAGCAGCATTAATTCGCAACCTTTCATGGTTGGTATGCGTACAGCCGTACGGCTGCAGGCTCCTCTGATGGTTAAGCATTTCAAAAGTCACAACATAAAATGTCCCAGTGCAGTTAATATGAGTTCTTCTTTCATTTGATGACTCCGAAATATGTATCTTAAATGTGTCTCCTGTATCAGTGTGCACGGAAATGTATATATTTTAAGGCATAATGCATGTTTGCAGGTTTATCCGATACAGGGATTTCCTGACCATGACATTTGTGATGCCTCAAAAGGAGCAATTCAGAATCACCTGCTGAAATATTCTGCCGTGAGCCGCATCCATGCAGCAGGTGAGCAGAAACTGTGGCAAAAACAAGTCAAAGTAACTTAAATATATGAAATTATATGTGGCTCACAAAGAAGATTAAGAATGCAATACCACACTTAACCACTAGGTGAAGCAAATGTCATGAACAATTAAAAAGTGGCGTATTGAAGCCTATTTGAAAGAGTTTGACCTTCATCTTTTATTTTGTTTGTTAAAATAGTAGGTTTTTAGATTGTGCTATTATCACAACTAATACAGTCTACTTTTCTTACAGCGACAAATCATTGAGCTGGTTCCTCTCACCCATGTGTACTACGCTTACAGTGGAAAAGACTACGATTACTTTGTTTTCGGCCGAGAAAACAAGGTTCACACTACCAAATACCCTTCTTCCTGCAGCATTTTATAGTAGCTGTATTTGTTTTGTGTATTAATCAAAATTATTTTGCATTTATTCATACAATTTGTTTTTTAAAATTTGTAAATTACACAATATACACAGTTTATATTGTAATATATTGTGTTACTTGTTAAATATCTAAATGCTTAGTGGCCTTATTTTAATTCTCTCATATGAGTGTGTTGTAACTGAATTCTTTATTATCATAATTTAATGCGATAATGAAAATGTATATTTATTAATGAAGAAACATGCACAGTTCATTCTTATATTTATACTGCTGAACCACGCTACTTGGGGTTACATTAGGACTCAAAACAGAGTATTGAAGAATATTTTTAAGTATAGCAAAAAAATAAATAAAAGTCCTGATTAATGAATTGAGAAAAAAGTACTTTTTTATTATGATATCAATGCTGGTATTGTTTATCAGTTTATATACAAACAAAGCAATAATGACGTACTGAGAAGGAAATCAGACTTACAGTTGAAGTCACAATTATTAGTCCCCCAGTTTATTTTTTCCCCCAATATCTGTTTAACGGAGAGAAGATTTCTTCAACACATTTCTAAACATAATAGTTTTAATAACTCATTTTTAAAATCTGATTTATTTTATCTTTGTCATGATGACAGTACGTAATATTTGACTAGATATTTTTCAAGACACTTTTATAAAGCTTAAAGTGACATTTAAAGGCTTAACTAGGTTAATTAGGGAAACTAGGAAGGGTTAGTGTAATTAGGCAAGTAATTGTATTATGATGGTTTGTTCTGTAGATTTTCGGAAAAAAAGATAGCTTAAAGGGGCTAACAATTTTGCCTAAAAGGGTTTTTAAAAATTAATAACTGCTTTTATTCTTGCTGAAATAAAACAAATAAGACTTTTTCCCATGCTTTCTCCTTGCCCTGTTAAACAAAAAAAATTAAACGAGGGTGGGGCGCTAATAATTCTGACTTCAACTAAGTTCACATAAATGTAGTAAATGTGCCAATAAACGTTTTTTTTTTTTTTTTTTTTTTTTTGCTTTTTGAAAGTGTGAATTAAGCTAAGTGAGATGTTACTGTCTGTGGTAGACACATTAGCCTCAGTTCCTGTTCTACTTCCTCTTTTGATTTACACTTTAATCTTCATTTTGGTTTTCATGTGGTTATCTTTGTGTGAAAATCACGTTTCACAAGGAGAAATATGATATACTCTTTAACATTGATTATTCATTCATTCATTCATTCATTCATTCATTCATTCATTCATTCGGCTTAGTCTCTAATTCAGGAGTCACCACAGTGGAATGAACCGCCAACTATTCCAGCTTATGTTTTACACAGCAGATGCCCTTTCAGCTGCAACAGCTACACACCCTTTCACACTCATTCGCACCCACATTCATACACTACAGCCACCCAGAGGAAATCCACACCAACATGAGGAGAACATCCCTAGTAGCAAAGAATTCTGGCCCAGATCTGGGATTAAGCTGGGACAGCAGGCATTCATCCGGCACTGGCATACAGCATGTGGGCCAACCATGGCCTGGGTTTTGCAGAGGTGGCACCGTCTATAATGCGGCACACAAGATTTGGGCCAGATGTAAAACGTAGTATTTGGGCCAGATTTAAAAAATTGATTGTGGGCCACGTGAGTTTGGCCAGTCTTGACCCAAATTTAAAATACATTAAAATCATTTTTGATTAAATAAATCAATTCTACCAATCAGGTCACTGAGAAAAAACAAGGCCCATAGTGTGCCTAAAGCGCAATGCTTCATGGGTTTATCAATTTCATTGCAATCGTGACACACCAACCTTACTGGCCCAGTTCAGGCCCAGTTATGTGTTATTAACTTGGCTGAGACTTGGCCCAGATATGGTCTGTGTTTGGCCCTTGTCTAGAAGCCAGATTTGGTCCAGTCATGTACCGTAATTCACTGCGGCATGTGGGCCAAGCAAAACCTGATTGTGTGGGCCAGAGCTGGGCCAGAGAAATTTTGCTATGTGGGATACTCCACACAGAAATGCTTCCTGGCCCAGTTGGGACTTGAACCAACCCTCTCGCTGTGAGGTGACAGTGCTAACTACTAAGCCATCATGCCGCCCCAACATCAGTCATTTTAAGAAATGTTTTTGAGCAAATGATCATATTAGAATGATTTCTACAGAGTACAGATAATCGAGAAAGCATGCAGGAAATGTAACTCGGGACTTTTTATATTTATTTCAAAGTGTTTTCAATGCTAAACAAAGCGAAAGCACAGAACAGACTCGCATTTAAGAGGGGCGGCCCCTGGTGGTATAACTAAATAAAGGGACTAAGGGTATACATAAAGAAACTAAGCCGAAGGAAAATGAATGAATGTAAAATTGTTGAATTAACTTGTAATGCACAGAGGCTGTCCATGGACTGTGTTATACTCGGGTATGACCAGCGGAGAACGCCAAAGTTGCATTAAACTTCAGAATCGTTCGTTAAATGAGGCTAAAGAAGAACTGCACAAAAACATAAGGGTAAGATCTACAATTTTACATCAGTATGCATACAAGTTAAAGCAAAAGAATGTAGATAAGTTAAAGTCATTACAAACTGAAGTTGTTAAACAAATGTCGAAAATGTTTTAAATAAAAAAAGCAGAGTTGGTTTGATGAACTTGCCTTTGTGGATATACAATTTGTAAGATATATTTTACATTCATTCATTTTCTTGTCGGCTTAGTCCCTTTATTAATCAGGGGTCGCCACAGCGGAATGAACCGGCAACTCATCCAGCAATTTTTTCCATCCAGCCGCAATCCATCTCTGGGAAACATCCACACACACTCATACACTACGGACAATTTAGCCTACCCAATTCACCTATACCGCATGTCTTTGGACTGTGGGGGAAACCGGAGCACCCGGAGGAAACCCACGCGAAGGCAGGGAGAACATGCAAACTCCACACAGAAACGCCAACTGAGCCGAGATTCGAACCAGCGATCCAGCAACCTTCTTGCTGTGAGGCGACAGCACTACCTACTGCACCACTGCCTCACCCAATACATTTTACAATTATACAATAATTGTTTTTAATCTGTTTGTTTGATTTATAGTGCCCCAATCGTGTCTTTCTTTGTGAATTGTATCTGGCTGGATGATATTATTTATTATTACATTGCATTGGACTTTTAGGCATGTAGGCTAATACAATTCCACATGTAACCAACAGATGGAAGCATTGCTTTACATGGTTGAAAAGTTTACAAAGCTGTTCTTTTGAAGTGAGAATTTAGGAAAAAAGTTATTACATTAACTCACAATACTCTGAGTCTAGTAAGGAAATATAATTCGGGAGTTACTTTTTCTTTCTTTTTTTTTAACTCTCAATAAATAGTGATAAATATACAAAAAGGAAAAGATCTTAATTTCAATATGATGTGATATATTTTGTGGTTACTTAAAATATGATTTACAATTTGTACTTTGCAGAGTATATTTAACAGAAAAAAAGCAACAAAACAATATACGTTTTAAGAAATAGTAGACAACTAAAAATAGCAAATAAAATTTTGACTGCAAATCGTAACAATGCATTTTTTGCATTGATATTACATCTATTTCTTTATTTAAATTAATTATATATTTATATAAACTATTAATTTAATTATTTATAACAATAACAATTTTATTCAGGCAAATAAAGGTACAACTTTTGCCCTGTCCACCAAAATTGTATTTTTTTTTTCAGTGGGACATTTAATTTATAAATTAACAGCAGAATAGTAGCTACATTTTTGTATTGTTTTAAGTATAAGTATTCTCTCCTTACCATCATGCTCTATTTTGTATATTTTATGAGGTTTGTCTGATAATATGTAATGTCAATACTATTACCAATTTTCAAAGTAAAACTATAGACAATTAACTTTTAACTTTAACAGTTGCCTTTGTAATTGTTTATTGAACTATGGGCCAGCAATTAATAAATGAAATTGAATTGTCAAACCCGTTGCTGTCAACCCTGTTACAAAGTTTTATTCCATGTCAGATTTCAATAGATGTCATCTCAGTTACTCTGTGCGGTCCTGTAAATATGACATCAAACCTGTCACTATCACACTGTATCTATCTATAAATATTATCATCATAACTTGCCACCTCTCTGTTTTTCTGATCCTCATTTGTACACTACTTTGCGCTTGAGATCATCTTCTTCTGAGTTGTTATTTGTTCCAAACTTTAAGATAAAGTAATTCCGTGGTACGGCTTTTACCTTTAGCACCAAAGGCATTAAACTCCCTACCTTTGCACATTCACCAGGTGGACACTATTTCTAATTTTAAATCTCTGACAAAAAAAAAAAAAAAAAGTTTTTTTAGTGTGTTTAGGATAACATTTAATGATTTGCTGGTATAATATCCTGTCTATTGCTTTTCACTGCTTCTGTTTTTATGACGTGGGTGCTACAGTATGTAAGTTGCCCTTGGGTGCTTGAAAAATGCCTATAAATAAAAGGTAAATATATATATATATATATATATATATATATATATATATATATATATATATATATATATATATATATATATATATATATTCATTCATTTTCTTGTCGGCTTAGTCCCTTTATTAATCTGGGGCTGCCACAGCGGAATGAACCGCCAACTTATCCAGCAAGTTTTTAAGCAGCAGATGCCCTTCCAGCCACAACCCATCTATGGGAAACATCCACACACACTCATACACTACGGACAATTTAGCCTACCCAATTCACCTATACTGCATGTCTTTGGACTGTGGGGGAAACCGGAGCATCGAGAGGAAACCCACGCGAAGGGAGGTAGAACATGCAAACTCCACACAGAAAAACCAACTGAGCCGAGGTTCGAACCAGGGGCTCAGCGACCTTCTTGCTGTAAGGCGACAGCACTACCTACTGCACCACTGCCATTTTTAACTTCTTCTAAAACTGAGTTTTTTCTTCTTCTGTTAAACTCAAAAGAAGATATTTTGAATAATGTTAGAAACTGGTAACATTGATTTCTGTAGTATTTGTTTGTCCTACTATGGATGCCAATGGTCACACCTTTTTAGCTTTCATTAAAATATCTTTGTGTTCAACAAGTGAGAAACTCATAAAGGTTTATAACCACTTAAGGAAGAGTAAATTGTGAGTAAATTTACATTTTTGGGTGAACTATCCCTTTAAGAACGTAAAGGTTCTTCAGTAAATATAAATGTTTATTCTGTAACATCAATAGAAAGCCGCCATTTGGAAGCATTATTTTTCATACATATATTTTTTTCTTTATTTAGTTGTTTGTTGAAAATATCACCAATGCCGTGGAAAGGCTTTGGTAATCCCCAATACAATATCTACAAGATAAACTTATCTGTCGACACAAGTCGCCTAATATGTTTTGAAGTTGTACTGGCTTGTTTGCTGGCAGAGAAGCTA